AAAAGTAAACTCTGTATATAGCATTATAAAGTTCTGATGACCTACTAAGGAGATATTTAAAATACCACTGCTAAATCAGGGACGGCTAGCGCAGATAGCCCTCGTGTAGCTTTGAGCGAAATTAAACAAACAAACAAACAAATCTTATTTATTTATCTTTGAAGTGTCAGCTTTAAGTGACTTATAAATATTTTCATATGTTTATATTTATGTTTTCGAATGTAGGAAAAAAGTCACAGGAAAAAAAAATCAATTTGAAAATTTATGTTTATAATTTTTTAAGTTCACAGAAGTTAAATTATTGAATTATTTCACTCATTCATGTGATAATTGACCTCGTATATGCCTGAAAAGTGCACTTGACTCTGTATTATAGATAAATACACTTGTCAAGTTAACAAACTGTTTGTATCATTAAATAAACATGTAATGCATTGATGTTATGTGTGTGTAATGTACTTTCCATATAATGTTACATATACATCGTGCTATTATTGCAATAAATAACGAACTTTAAAATGTTTTTGTTGTATTATTTTACATTGTGTTTCGGTATTAAGAAATTCGTGACTTTTTTCCTGTAACTTTATCTCCGGCCACCATTTTTTTCTTATTAAGACTGTAACAGAAACAGGCACCCAGAATACATCACTACATTCTTTGCTGGATGATTCACAATGGGAAGTTCCCAGGTCAAACGTCCACTTGATTGAGGTCTTAGGGGAGGGAAACTTTGGACGTGTTTGGAAAGCTGAGATTCTACATTCCGATCCCGACGAAGCAAGACCATGGTTAGTGGCCGTGAAAACGATCAAAGGTACGTCTAACATATTGTTACGTCTCCGTTTGTTAATTAACTTTCCGTAACTTCGTTCCGACGAAACTTTAAAGACACAAGTCTTTACTTAATAAAACTGGTTTATTCTTTCCGAATATAACTTTACGATACACTTAATTTCAATATTCGCGCTAAAACAAACACTATAACGAACGAACGTTAACTTCAACAATACCATGTGACTGCAGTTCAATTACTCACTATCTACACACACATTATTGTCCCGTCACGTTGCCACCCTCTTTTATATACCAGACTACCCTATATCTAGTAAATACTAGAGCATTCGCCAAGGTACAGGATAGTTCTAGAAAATAGGTGGCGCCACACCAGTCACGTGACCTCGATGACGCAACACTGCCCCCTCCTTAGTATTGTTCGTCCCGAACAATAGCCACTTACAATAAACCAATAACAATTAACAATAACTTAATTAAATGTACAGAATGAAACTGGTTTATTCTTTCCGAATACAACTTTTTGATACACTTATTTT